CTTTTATGATGCAAAGAACCCTTTAATCATGCAGTGTTCAGAGTTTTATTTAGAACCATATTCTTTGCTAAACAACTCTACAACTCTCCACGTCTGTGCTTTGCAGGACCGTGCAGGGTGCTGCTGTGCTGACAGTTTAAACTATCAAAAGAGCATGTATGCAGCTGGCCAGCACAACTAAACATAACTCCCGCTCATGAGAAACAGACACCGTGAATTAATATTAGCTAGTTAGCTCTCTCGGTAGCTTGTAGACACTGACGTTCTCATTTCAGTAACATGAGAGATACTTTATTATCCCACATTTACAGGCAGATACAACAAGCTTCCTTGCCTGACTCAAGCAGCACAGTAGGAGAAATATTGAAACTGAATTGTTTGGTGCAGCTTGCAGCCTCTGCGAGACTGAATTAGGAGTTCATCTTCTTCTCTCAATTGGAAATGACATAAAAAAACATTCCAAAAATGTGCGCCAAAGAGGAACAGCAAATGCTCAAAAATTTTAAAACTGCTTATTTTACACTAGATGAGATTTTCTCAGTGCGTGCGCTATTTTCAATGACTTAAAATGGATACCTATGATCTTGTTGTTATTTTCAGAAGCAGATTGGTATTAGAGATGTAAGAAAAAAAAAAACAATAACAGGAAACTGAGAGACAGACAGGCTGACAGACACAGAGAATCTAAAGGTTTGCTCTGAGATTAAGAAGTTAGAGTATCTGCCCTGGAGCACAGCACAGTCTGCTTTAATGCAAAATCAGCTAATAATTAGAAGTAGTGCACTAAAATTTGCTGGGGGTATGACTGAGAAACATTGAGAATGAAAATCTAATAAAATCAACATCCAGAGTCTCCTGGATTTGAAATGTGTTTATTAAATCTTGAGGCAGGTAACCTATCGAGGAAGTACTGTACATAGAAAATTACAGTGTATTATTTATCATCAAAAACTTATTGATGCTCTCAAGAAATAAAACATCTCGAAATACTTTATAATAGATTGTACAGGGAGATTCATTCGAAAGAGGCCTGAATATTCTGTAATAACTCTCATTAGGACGAAGCAATTTTCAAACTTACCTTGAGTGGATCCGGAGAGGAAAAGTGTCCATAAAGTGAAAATCAGAGGGCAACAGCGAATCATCTTGAAGCACAGAGCACCAGCACTGCAGCAGCAGCTTTTCAGTGCCATTATAAAACCACACCTTCCTGTGCTGTGACTGGTGTACAACATCCTCTGCGCTGTGATTGGAACTGAATGTCTGGTGCAGCTTGCAGCCTCTGTGAGTCATGTAAACTATTTGCAATTGCAAATATTTGATTGGCTAGTTGTATTTTCTTTCATCTGTTTGTGCTTTTTACATGCACGCTCCTAAAAATGACGCTGTTTTTTATTGAAGAAAATGGTTCTATATAGAGCCATGGACACTCAAAGAACCCCTTGCATGATTAAGGAGTTCTTTGCATTATTAAATAGGTTCTTTTTCAAATTGATGAATAATGTGCTGTAGGTGGTTCTATATAGAACCTTTTTAAAAAGGGTTCTATACAGCACCCAAAAGGGTTCTGCTATTGTTTTTACCTCATTGTGTTCTGTGTAGGTCTACTTATTCTTAGAACATCCACTCTTTAAAGGATGGTCTAAGAATAAGTAGACCTACTTAAAGGAGGGAGGACTGTAGTGGGAGCACTAGAGTGTCAGCTCTGACTGTGTGGCAATTGCAAATAGTTTACATGGCTCACGGGTCAAGTACAAGGACCGTTGGCAGAATTTTGTCAGAGTCAGTCCAACAATGTCTCGACTGCCTCTGCTTAAGGCTGAATAAGGTAGTATGTTGACCTCAGGGATGCTGATAAATGAGTGTGTCTACTATATCAGATAGACTTTGCTTTGAACTACCGAGGTTGGTATGAGGAGAGAGTATATACAATTCTTAATCTTGTCTGATCCTGACTCACACTCTAAAGTGTAAAATATTTTTGAATGCAGCAGTTTCCTTCCTGGCATCATAGTCATTCCATAATTGTGGGTCCATTTCATGTTTGTAGAATATTTTTGGTGTATTTTCATCAGTGTATGTTTTAATTCATATTATTGAGGATATTATATCATACATGATCATACAAAACATGATGCCACCAAATAACACGACTGCATTTCAAAATAATCAAATTTATACAAACTTCAGATGGATATCACTTAAAACCTTGTTTTCTAGCTGTGTGATGGCCTGGAGATCATTCGAGGGTGGAGCTTTGGAGGCTGGGGGCACTGTACCTTTAATGTCATGCTAATAACATGTCTGTAAATCTATTCATGAATAGGATCAGTGCTTTTTTTGTGAGTGTGTTTTGATCGTGCACTTCAATGGGTTCAGCCTCAGATGTCAAACTCTGCTAGCTAACATCTCTAAAGAACATCAGGCACATTTGCCACCACGAAAATAAAAAAAAAAAGTGTATCACAGTCATAGAAATAGTAATAAATAATAATTGATATCTCCTTCTTTATGATGGGTTTGTGAATTCAAATGTAACCAATCAGGTCGCTGAGGCCAAAATTACACCCCGCAATCCATGTGCCAAAGTCAAACACATAACTTCGCTATTTAAACTGACATTTAGTAATGTGGTAAAATAAAGTGTAGCCAAGTGCATTAGATATAGTAAAAACGCTTTTACCAGATCAGTGAGCTGATAAGAACAGATTGCATCGAACAGTAAAGACAGCAGAAAAATCATTGGTGCCCTGGACACAACCAATTTCCTTCCTCAGGCCATAATCCTCATAAACAGCTGACCAGTAATATCATCTATTGGGCCTTAGCTACTCCTGTTTTCTTCAGACAGATATTACACCCTGCTTCACATCTATACCATATTTTACACCACAATTTAATTCCCATAGATGATGTACACTACTGTTTGCATTGCCACACACACTTGCTTGTCCCTTTATCATCCATTTGTTGCTTGTATTGCCTGTAAATAATATGTACATTGTCTATACATTATTGCCATTATATTGTCTGCTTATTGCTTATTTACTGTGTGTACTGTGTATATTGTATATTACGTATTGTTTGTGAATGATATGTACGCTGTCTGCATGCAGAGAGACACCAACGGCTGGAGCCCAATTCCTTGTATGTGTCGACATACTTGGATAAACCAATAAACCAATAAACGATTCTGATTCTGCAGCTCCTCTCATGTGACATGAACTCATGAAGGCTTTACTGTTTGGGAAATGTCCCGTCCCCCAGCTGAAACAATGACTTTGACTCTCTCTCTGTTTGTGTCTATTGTTCAGCAATCTGTGCACTTTAATTTCTTTATGACATAAGTGATCTTAACTCAGTTGTGAATGTGGTGGGTTGTCATCCCAGTAGTTTGAAAGGTGGTAGGCCAAAAGTTCAGTGTTCTGCATGCGCCTTTTCTGCCAGTGTGTTCAATAAAGAGCACTTCTCATAGCAGAAGCATGACTGTCCCTGTGTGTTACTTCATTCAAACGACACAACACACAGACACCCTATGTTTTAAGCTGTTCAGGTATCCTTGGCCTGGTCACTACCACAGCTGCTTTCCTGAGCCTACATGGGCATATATGCAAGTTAACACAGTTGAATTATATTTGCTCAAGTATTTAATACAGTAATATGATTTTAGGTATATTTTTAGCTTTAAGAAAATCTGTCAAACAGAACAAAATCCACAAGAAGCTCATTTTCTTTTTCTTTCATAATAATGGTCACCTCTTCTACAACCTCATGAGCTTGTTCTTTTTTGTAGTACACCACAGCAGTGCTCATTCCGGTTGAAACCAGCCCCACCACTTCAAAGTATAATGAAAGCATCTCTGCTTAGGATTCTCAAAAGTAATTCTAATGTGTCTTTTCTTCTCTTGAGGCCCTTTTATATATTGTTAATGTGATTACCTGTGCAGTTACATGGCTATAGATACTGATGCTCAGACCCTGATGAGAAAAATAAACTATGTCTAAACTATGGTCATGCTGTTAGTCTTTTAGGCTGAAGTGTTTGGTTGGACCGTCAGGTTTAAGATGTGAGCTGTTTCCACCTCACTGCAGCGATGTCCATTAAAAACCACAGAAAGACTGCCTGATTTCAGCCAAAAACCTCAAAATAATCTTAAATAAACAATCTTTTTGTAAGTTTCTGTTAATAGTCAGAAGAGACAGGGAAAATATGCATTTACAACAAATATACAATAATGAAGGGTTTATCACAGTATCACAAGGTTCTATAATTTCCAAAATTCAAAAAAACTGGGTCTGGGTCAAGAGTGGATTAATTAATGGCTAAAAGTGTTACTCTAGTGTCATTGTTCTATATTTGAATAATAATTGATAAATAAAACACTTCATCCCTGCTACACAACATCAACATAACAGTGGCATGTTTAGTAATATAACAGTGTCATGTTATCATTACCATTAAGTATCATGACAGATGCCATGATGTTTGATGTCACGACGCCTAACTAAAATATGTAGTGATAATTAGCATGACAAAAACTGTCATGAAAACAAACATTACGGAATTAGTCATAAAAATGACCTGTAATAGTAACATGAAACTTATATTACTGAACAAAATCTGACCATTCATATATATATATATATATATATATATATATATATATATATATATATATGTGTGTGTGTGTGTGTGTGTGTGTGTGTGTAGGGATATATACAGGACTGTGTATTCATACAACCCTGTCAGGATTCTTTTGAGTGATTTTAGCAGATATGAGGATATAAAAGGCTTTTAACGTCATGAAGAACAGCAGATCAAATCTAAATGAAAGATAAAATAGGTCATGTGGACCATACTTGAGTTTGTGTATGAAAGGTTGGGGGGGCTTTGTCAGAGATGAGTACACAGTGATTGGCTCTATGGTGAAGCTTTGAAGTTGAACCTGCATTAGTTTTGAACCCGTCTGTGTAAAGATTAGATCAACCCTTCATTCACTATGGAGATCTCACTTCTGATGATTCTGATGATTGTGGGTCTTGGTCTGTTTGTAACTGTAGATGCACAAGGTAAGTCAGCCTTTCTACATTTAGCACAGGTTGCATTCCATTCATAGATACAATTATTTTAACCCTCTACAGAACAATGTTGCCTCAGGGTAACATACTCACTATGCATGCTTTACAAAGTTATGTAACATGACTAATGATAATGCATGAATTTATGAGAGGAATAAACCAACAGAACACTTGGTTACAATCTCTTCTGGTGGGCATTTTAAAATGCGTCTTTCTAATATGGTGCAACTCGTAGATGACATACTGCACTGCTGTTCTGGACAGAGATCCAAAGTATAGTTAACATCTGTCAGTGTAATTTTATTTTCAGCATCACATATGAGAATTTGCCTAAATATGTTTGTTGCTTAGAAGCAATATTGTCTGACGGTATAATTGATATAGTCATGCGGCCATTGTAGAGAACACTGTAGTTATCACAAATTTTTCATTCAGAAATCTAAAATTTTATTATTTGATGCAGTTTTATTTCCTAGAAGCCCAGAACAGTTAATTCTGTTATGTAACAGCCAGTAAACAGCATGTTTTAATAATATAATTTCTTTAGTTCAGAAAATGAAAGCCAATTCTGATTACTTAAAAAATGGCATGTTTTAACATAGTTTTAACTGCTGTTTGTAGTTTTGAGTGATTTTGTGCAAAAGAAACTAAAGCATTACTTTAAAACGTTTCAGCATAGTAGCAAGATGTCTTTGAAAAACACATGAATAGATTTTTAAAAACATCTTAATATTTAAAGATAATTATTTATTACTTTTGTAATTCTAAAAAAAAGTATATATATATATATATATATATATATATATATATATATATATACATTTTTTTAACCATGTATTTGGAGTGAAACAGAGTAATTACATAATATATTCATCTTTAAATCCTAAAATGCTTTTAAAAGATCAAAAAAAAAATTAAACATCTTCTAATTAAAATGTTGCATTTTTTAATCCAGGTTTGTGTTTTTTCAGTGATATTATTAGAGGATAATTTATTTTAAATCATCCAGAAAGTATTTTACAAGCAGGTTCAATTAAAAAAAAAACACAGGCCAATAACACACTGTGTTCTAAATCATTATCAGATTTTAATTCATTCTTCTCTATCAGTATTTGCACAAAATAGAACACATCCTGACTCGATTTCATTTAACTCTGTGGTGCTCTAAGACTGGAGAGGCAGTTTTTCATCTGGAGTATATTTTGTTGCTTTGAAAGGTAACTGAAGTTTTGCTCTGTTCCCTGTAGGTCCTGCTGGTCTGTGTGTTCCTGCAGTCAGAGTTCGCAAGAACACTGTTTATAGAGGCTCCAGTAAAAGCCTGTTAAGAGTCCCCTGTCCTGTGACATACTGTGAGGAGATTCCAACTGTAAGATGGTTTCGTATTAAAGATACAGACAAGTCGATACCAGTCAGCGAAACAGACCAAGTAACAGTTACACAGGAGTGGTCTACTGCAGACGAGAAAGAGATCATCTCATATTTGAGCTTCAAGAGTTTATCAGTTCAGGATGATGGCCTTTATAGATGTGTAGCTGCCGGATCAAATTCTACATCAGAAAGCCACAACATTAATGTGTCTGTCTCAGGTAAGACATTGAGCTGATTGTGCTCTACTTTTTATAACTAAGTTTAGGCTGACGTTATTTACTGTGATAAACATAATAACTGCTGATCTGAAGGTGTAACTATCTTCCACAGATACCATTTTAGAGACTCCCACTGCAAGTAAGAGCATCTGTTTTTACATTGAGCAGCAATTATTTTATCTTTCTACATGTAAAATAGTTTTTATACACAAAAGCACCAATATTTTAAACAAAGAAGACACACTTTGTTTACAACAATTATTAAAAGATCTAGAAGGGAAAGTCTGTCAACATACTTGACTTATATATAATGTGTGTGTATTTATTCTCTGCTACATCAAAAAGAGTCCTTGAGCATGATGTTTGTCTACCTCTGTAACATGATTAAAACTGTATGTCACTCTGGATAAAGATGTCTTTTTGTGTTGTCTGTCAGTGTAACTAATTATTTACAGAAGTTGGGTAAACAAGAAAAAGCTATTGGAAGTGGACTTTATTTTGTTGTGCTAATTCAGTGTTTTTGTAGAGTGTATAGGTTCAAAGTTTTGTGGTTCTAGCATGAAAACTGGCCTGTGAAAATGATTAGAGTAGAATAATAAGAACTAGAAAATAATAAAGAATAAAAAAAATATTTCTATGGAAGTCTGTCAATTCCATAGATTTAAATGACTTTCATCACTTCTACATTTTCACTTTTATATTTTCCTTAATATTACCTTTATATCAACATTTTTCATGTTTCACTTTTTTTTAATCACTTATATATTGTCTTTTTCTCATGTGAAATTCTTCAGAAGTGATGTTTGTCCCTGTAACAGCCAGCCCTACTGTCAGTGTGAGTAAAGCAACTGTTGCACGGATGCCCTACATTATAATCTGCTCAGGTGTCTTCAGTCTGGTTACTATTGTGATGTTAATAATTTTTCTGAGCCTACATGGACGTACATGTGAGTGATGTCATGTATTATTTCATTTTTCAGTTGTAACCGTTAAACACAGTTGAACTATATTTTCTCAGAACTTAATACAGTAAAAATATTATTTATTTATGTATGTATGATTTGACCTGAAACAGTCTTTATTATTATTTATGTTTTTATGATTTTTAGGTTCAAGAAAACCTGTAAAGCACACAGATCAGGTAAAGACACAAGAAGCTCCTTTTCTTCTTCTGTGTTATAATGATGTTCTCCTCTACAGTCTAATGAGCTTGTTCTCTTTTGTAGTACACCACAGCCGTGTTCACTCCGGTTGAGACCAGCCCCACCTTTATAAAGCATACTGAAGACATCTCTGCTTATGACCCTCAAAAGCCACCACTAAGCAAGGAGCAATGTTTATAATATGACCAATACAACAAGCTATGAAGATGGTTGTATGGAAAGACTGAAAGTGTTAAAGTATTATAAATTAGTTGTATTTTATACGTAATTATCTAAGAAACTCTCTTCTAATTTTCTTTCCTTTTTACAATAATGTCAATGTCATTTTTACAGTTACATGGATATAGATACTGATGCTCTGACCTTCATGAATTTACCTTTAAAATAAACCCTGTCTGAACTACTGTCATGCTCTTACTCTTAGGCTAAAGTGCAGCGGTTACGCTTTGTCTTATGCTACCGTTATGCAACTAAACACAACTGTTTCCACCTCACTGCAGGGACGTCCAGTAAAAACCGCATTATAAAGGTGTTCAACTGTCATGCAAACATCCTGTAGACACCCTATGTATAGGCCCCTGATGTGGACAGAACTAAAGCATAAAAGTGCAAGTAACTCAGCTGCAGGCTGCGAACAGCTGTGAACCAGAACAATAGCTTTATAACAGTCCAGTTTAGCTGTTATTACTTGGTGGTTGCCTTACTAAGGTTTCAGGGTTTTCCCCAGGAAACAATCAGCTGGTGATCTCTTCCAGCCATTTAGGGTCTGTTTCACAGATGTTGGCTCCATTTACATTAAAGAAAAGTGAATCACTTCTCTCACCAACTGTTAGACATTTTAATATTCTGAAATTTCTTGCTTATTTGCACAAATTTAAGAAATTCTTAACTTAACACCTGTTTCCCTACACTTCCCATGATCCTCTGCACACAACTGTTAGCAGTCTCTTTAGAAATCAGTGTGGGGCAAAATGCAGCACAAACCTTAACTAAAGAGAATTTCCACTGACTGACCATCAGCACTCTGCAATTTAGTACAAGACTAGGCTTAAAGGACCACTGGTGGGTCCAGCATCAAACTGATGCAATGCTTCACATGTGTGTTCAGGTTAAAACATATGGTTGAGGCTCATTTGTGCAGAAAATGTGGTCCTCAAATTCATAATTGTACATTGTATTGATTTTCTCAGTGCACTCACTGAGCTTCTGTACCCGCTTTACCCGGCGGTGCATCTGTGTTGTATATTTCTCCAGCCATATTTTGGTCACCTTGCACGGAATGATATCAAATTGTGCTCAGGAAAGTTGTGATTCCAGTTATCCAATGAGGGTGCACTTTCTTTAAGATATACAGAAACCGTTTATTTTGTTTATATAAAAGTGCAAGTAAGAATCAACAGTAGGAAAAATAAAAATAAGAGCAGACGGCGACGATTTGCAAATCCTTTATGACCAATCGCTGCTGTCGGAAGAAAACCTTGTATCGTTTTTCAGTTTTTGACGTAATTTGAAAATGACTGTTGCCTTTTATGTTATTTACCATTGTGTTACATCACCTTTCCTTTAATAATAAAATTGTTGTAGTTGTGAAAGTGGATTTTTTTTTCCCATTCTTGCTTGAAGAATTCTTGCTGCTTAAAGCTTAAAGTTCCTGTTGTTGTATATTGCACTTCATAATGCACCACACGCTTTCAATAGGAGACAAGCCTGGACTGCAGGCAGGCCATTGTAGCACCTGCACTGTCTTGCTACAAAAGCCAGGCTGTAGTAACACATGCCGAATGTGGCTTGATGTTTTCTTGCTGGAACAAGCAGGGATGCAGGGATTTCACTGAAATACATTTGTTGCTCCAAAATGTGTACATAGCCCTCAGCATTAATGGTGCCTTCACAGATGGGCAAATTACTTACTTACTAACACACTCTCATATTATGACAGATGCTGGCTTTTGAACCTTGAGTGCTCATAAAATTAAGTAAACTGGCTTAAAAACATCCAGCCAGTTCCTTACTTTAAGTTAAAACTACAAACCAGTCTTTATGTCTGTGTGATGGCTGCATGGTTTGAGGACACTGGGGTATGTTTGGGGGGGATACAGAAAAACAAAATAGGTGTGGGGCCCATGAGCACGTCTATTCATCCCTGAAGATCAGCAATGAAGAGATGGGCAGAGTCCACAGTCACAAAACTGCTGAAAAAAAGAGCATGAACGATTAGACCATCTTAATTGGTGCTTAACTGGATTAAAATGCAAGTAAGTAATGCCAACGTTAGCTAAATGGCTTGACCTCCAAAATACGAGGTTTATTTGATCCTAAGACTTGGTATTTATTAACTAAATGAAAAAAAAATGCTAATGGCTAACTTATATTTATTGAGTTTTGGGAGGTAGTAATAGAAGTCTGGACCCACCAGGAGGTCCAGGCATTTGTTAATGAGGTAATTTAGGTGTAAGTGGGTGTAAACAAAGAGGAACCCCTGATCTAGGCTGATAGAACTGTGTTTATAAGCTTTTGTCTTATGTAATCTAGAACATGAACCCACGTTTTATCTTACCTTTAGGTAACATCCAACTTAGGAAGCTCTCTTTCTCAAGATCATGAAGGCCTTGCCAATTAGCTAATGAGCTCAATCAGGTGCATTTAATGATGCTGTGTGCTGAAGTCTGCAGTGTTTTGGCCCATGAGGGCTGGAGCCTGACACACCCTGTAGAGAATAGAGAATAACTGTACTTACTCACACAGAAAATCAACAAAATTGAATTTTTATGGAAACTTTTGCATACAGCTGTACGTAACGAAAACATTGGTCCATAAATGTGCAGAGCATTAGGTCCCCAGGACTGACCCCAGGAACCACTGCATAAAGTACTATTTAAGACAACTGTCCAAAAAGCTAACCAAGTTTTTTAGGAACCATGCCAGTTTAGAAAGAGACCTTCATTAGGGGCCTCTAGTCTCACTCAAACAAGACCTGAATGGGTTCAAGCTGTGTCTATCATTGCAGCTATGGCATTTCTAACTTTAATTGCTCAACAGCAGTTAGATTTGTTGAATTTGGAACACTTGTATACATCGAGACCCTGATGAAGTGTGCACATTTTGGCCCAAATTGGCCTCTAGAAAATGCTCAAGTGCTCAAAACACTGAAAAACTTTACAAATCCTATTATGATTATATTAAGTAGTCTACAGATAAAGAACCACTGCCATGTGATTCAGTTCTCTGTTCTGAAAAAAACTTTAAAATGACAAATTGGAATCCTTGTCCAGTTTTTTACTTTGTTCATTGAAAGTCTACAGCCTATTATACCACGAACAAAAGGTCAATTTGAGCAAAACTTGAAAATCATTTTTGTTGAGGGCCCCTGATCAATAATCATAACCTATAGAGTCCCTTTGACAAATTCTGGCTTCAAAAGGGCCCCTTATAGGTGTACAATGTCTCATTATGGCATGCATAAAAAGTGGTTAAACACTGAAAACTATGTCAGAAAAGGTTATATTTTTGACGGCTTTGTTCCAAATCTCTTGCATGTTATACAAAACTCAACAGACCTGTACGTATGAACTTTGGCATATATCATGTGTAAAGACCACTGCGCAACATTTATGGAAAATAAAGGCCTATTGATAGACTCCCCTCTGTCTGTAAATCAGGCCCAAACAGGATTATGCCTTGTTAAACCTCAGTGGGCCAAACTGCAAGTCCTTATGAAAGCGATACACACTTGGAGCCCAGAATTGCCGTTTGTGGCTATATTTTTCAATTTGTTTTGCATATTTTGAGCACAGCAGCTGTTTATTTTGTCATTTTCAGCAGCATATTGTGTCAATTTCAGGAGTAGACCAATTGAAAATTACTAGGAAAAAATCTCATTACATCTACTTACATTAAGAGTAAATGAACGTTCTTGCTGTTTTTGCTTTCTGTAACGTGCAAAGCAGGCCCAGCTTCATCCGATTTTTTGCTCTAATGTGACTCAGATCTGATGTTTTCAAATCCGGCCTGAGCCACTTTCATATGTGGTCCTAGATCGGATATGTATCACATCTCACCTTTTTCACCTTCGTCTCGCTCTAATAATGAAGCTGAGAGCTGATCAGAGTTAATTATCTTCTCAGTGAAGCTCGTGCTGCTCGTTAGTTTGTTTGCTGATGATGCACGTGATTCATTCACGTGACGTTACTGAATAGGATGTGCGCATGTGGGTCATTTCAGGACGCCAGTTCGTTCACATTATGGACAGATTTGAACCATTTACCTAAATGAGTGTGAACCATCGTGTCAGACAGATCGGATTTGAGCAAAAAATTGGATTTGAGCAATGAGGCTTGTAATGTGAACGTAGCCTATATGAGTTTAAAATATCAAACAAAATACTAAACAAAAAGAAAAAAGTTAATAATGTTCTGAAAAGCTGAGTTTTGATCAGTGATTTGAGCTTAGACAGATCAGTGCAGTCTCAAATGTATTTGGGGAGAGAGTTCCAGATGGTGGGGTCAGTTATGGAGAAGGCTCTGTCACCTCATGTCTGGTACTTGGTCCTTAGTGGTGGAGACAAAAGGTTAGCCCCTGTGGAGTGGAGACAGCGGGAAAGAGAGTGGTAATGAAGTGGGGCAGTGAGGAAGGTAGGGGTCTGGTTGTGGAGAGCTCTGTGAGTCAGAAGGAGATCTCCGAGTTAGATTCGTTGTGGGACAGGAGTGATGTCATGAGAGCGGCAGTGGGTGAGGAAGCATTCAGCAGAGTTATAAATGTACTGGCGTTTCCTGTGGATTTTGGATGCTGTTGCAATAGCGGAGTCTGGATGTGATGAAGACATTGATTAGAGTTTCAGCAGCAGAGAAGGAGAGTGCTGGTGGAAATGAGCTATGTTCTTTAGGTGGAAAAGGGCAGTTCTGGCAATGTGCTTAACATGATGTTCAAAGCACAAGATGCTGTCAAAAGTGACTCCAAGGTTACAGATTTGTGAGCAAGGAAACAGTGTGGAGTTATCGATGCTGAGGCAGAGATTGTGAGTGTTCTGGATTGCATCCAGGATTTCATTTCAGTAAGACAATTTGTCAGGGTGGAGTAAATTGCAGTGCTGGAAGTGGAGACTGTGACAACGTATGATATTTCCAAGGGGGAGCATGTAGAGGATGAAGAGAAGGGGACCAAGCACTGAAGCCTGGGGGACTCCTTGGGACAGAGGAGCAGTGGAGGAGGTGCAGTCATTGATGCTGATAAACTGTTGCCTGTTAGTGAGGTATGTCAAGTCAAGTCAAGTCAAGAGACTTTTACTGTCTTTCCATCTATGTACAAGTACACAGTGGAGTGAAATTACGTTCCTCCAGGAACAAGGTGCAACATGAAACAAAAGAGTACAAAGTGCAAACGTGCAGACATAAGTGTGCAAACAAAATATTAAACTAGAAACAATACAATAAATACGATAAATTAAACAGACTCTAGACACAGTAAACAGACAGGACAGTGCAGCACCGACACAGCACTCATTTCTGGACATGAGGTAGTGGAATACGGTGCAGAGATATTTAACAAGCTGTGAGCTGAGTTTACACAGTCAGATAACATGCATAAACACAGCAGCTACTGAGGTAGTACTTGAGTAAACAGTGTAAACACAGTGTTAGCAGCAATGTTCCAGACAGTGTAAGGAGAGCCTCAAAAGAGGTATGTGTGTGTGTGTGTGTGTGTGAGTGTAGAGTATGTGTGTTAGGTATTCAGATCAGTCCTTGTGAGTTTAAAAACCTGATTGCTTGAGTAACAAAGCTGTTGCAGAGTCTGGCAGTGATGGCACGAATGCCCTGGTACCTTCTGCCAGACGGCAGCAGTGAAAAAAGTCTGTGTGAGGGATGGATGCGGTCGTCCGCAATGCTGGTGGCTTTGCGGATGTAGCGTGTGGTGTAGATGCTCATGATGGAGGGGAGAGAGACCCCGATGATCTTCTCAGCTGTCCACTATTTGCTGTAGGGATTTGCGGTCAGAGGCAGTGCAATTCCCAAACCAGGCGATGATGCAGGATGCTCTCCACAGTCCCCCTGTAGAACATGGTAAGGATGGGAGGGGGGAGATGAGCCTTCTTCAGTTTCCGCAGGAAGTAGAGGCACTGCTGGCCTCTCCTGGCTATGGAGTTGGTGTTGAGGGACCAGGTAAGGTTCTCTGTGATGTGGACATCAGTGCTCCTGATGACGTCCACAGCAGAGCCAGTGATGTTCAGTGGGGGGTGGTCACCTCGCATTCTTCGGAAGTCAACAACCATCTCCTTAGTTTTGTCCACATTCAGAGACAGGTTGTTGGTTCTGCACCAGTCTGTTAGCCGCTGCACCTCCTCTCTGTACGCTGACTCATCATTCTTGCTGATCAGACCCACCACAGTCGTGCCATCAGAAAACTTGATGATGTGGTTTGAGCTGTACTTTGCAGTACAGTCGCGAGTCAGTAGAGTGAACAGCAATGGACTAGGCACTTAACTGGGGGAATAACTGGATAAAAATCAAGTGAAATAAATAAATAAAATAAAATAAAAAAAAGCAATTTCTGCTTTAAAGAGGATTTTAAAGAGGAACCACATTCACTGCTGTTTTTTCATTTTATTAATAAATTCAGATTAAGCCGTTTTGCTAAGCTAACTGAGATGCAGTGCTATAAATGTCAGTTTTTTGTTTATTTAAAAAGGACAATTTTGACTAACCTAAGTTGTGAGAATTAAAGAAAGCAGAGAGTTGACTTTAAAACTCGAGCTGAGCACTCCTGATTTTGGAGCTGCTTAAATGCAGTGTAACACATCAAGTGATGAAGCAATAACTGCCAAAAGCCAGATATTAATATACATTTAATAAAGTTGAAGTTGCAATGACCTTACTTCCTAACAGACTTTTAGGATTTGCAGAATTGCAGAACAGTCATTTGTTTACAGTTACAACAAAAGTGCTTTGTGAAATTTAAAAGTCTGTTTAAAAAAGGCTGTTATTTACAAGATATTCTGTTTGATTTTGTATTGGATTAAATCCCTGAAGTAGCCAAATTGCACAAAGCAATCTGATTCAAACTCCAAAATCTGGCAAGATTAGTTGTTCAGTGTTCAATGTTCAGTCAGCCCACATTGAGCTGGTGTTATACTGCTAGAAAAAACTAATATGAGTAAATATGGTAAATTATTATTTAAATACAGATTTAAATTCAGATATCAACATTCAAACCTTTCTATATTTTTCATGTACATAATTATCATTATTACCATCTACAATTTCTTAATAATGCAATGTGTCACTTTTTCTTTTTCAATATTTTCTCGAAGTTATTAGGAAAGTTTATTTAAGTTTCTCATTTACCTGTGCCAGGTGTATTTAGTGGCTGCAACGTCACCACCGCCAATGCATCGATACTCTTCAGCATGAGTTGCATTGTCAACTTCCTCAACACGAATCACTTTGAGAGAGGAAATAAATATACAAACGTTGCATAAATCAGAACATTACAAAGTCATTTGCTTAGTTTAACAGCTAGAAAACTGTTGAAGTCATTGTGGACCATCTCACCACTCTTAATCAGAATCAGAATCAGAATCAAGCTTTATTGGCCAGGTACGCTTACGCATACAAAGGAATTTGGTTTTAGTTACAGGAGCTCACAGTGCACAGTATCAGACAAACATTTACATGTAGTGAATAAAATAAAATAAATATAAAATATAACAAAATAAAATAAAATCAAACATGCACTCCTACCATCACTCACTCAAACACACACACACACACACACACACAGTCATACCTGTAAACCTTACATTGTGCAAAGTATGGGTCTAAAGTTAAAGTGCTGAGTGCAGCAGCAGTTAAAGGGTGTATAGTGGCAGAGAAAGGGATCAGTGAGGTAACAGCCCGATAAGTGGGGTAATAAGGCAGGTAAGTAAGATGCTAGAATAAACACTGGTTTGAGGCGGCAGTTCCAGAGGATGGAGTTTAATTAGATACTACATACCAGTATTTATGAAGTGTAGTTTGAAGTTGGAATATTGTTTTAATGAATAGCCAGTGAGGAATATTGTTGTAATGAAAACCAATGAGGCATAACAGCTGAATTAAAGGACTCATTTCCTAAATTTGTCTTGTGTTTTATTTTTCCCACTTGAAGTCCATTTATAACATGTGTTGCTTTATGTGCCAAAAACAGTCATAATTCATTTCTGCATCACCATTTTCCAACCTCTCTTTATCTCTGAGAGTTAAACAGGCTGTTTTTGTTACTGTCCTGTATTGCTCCTCATTCAAAAAGCAAACACCCCTTATAATTTCAGTGTGAGTGGGCAGAGCTAAACTGCTGTAGGCTAAATAGGCATCCATCCATCCATTTATCATCTAAACCGCTTATCCTTCTGGGTCACGGTGGGGTGCTGGAGCCTATCCCAGCTGTCATTGGGCGGAAGGCAGGATACACCCTGGACAGGTCGCCAGTCCATCGCAGGGCAGACAGACAGACAGACATACACATTCACACCTAGGGGCAATTCAGCATATCCAATCAGCCTGACTGCATGTTTTTGGACTGTGGGAGGAAACCCACACAGACACGGGGAGAACATGCAAACTCCACACAGAAATGACCCTGGTCACCTAGCCGGGAATTGAACCCAGGTCATTCTTGCTGTGAGGCGACAGCACTACCCACTGTGCCACCGTGCCGCCCGCTAAATAGGCAGATATATGTAAATGTTTTTTTGAATGCATCACAAAAAAAGCTTTTTGCAGCATAGTGTCCATATATGGACTGTACAGGCTGAGGAGTGAAGAGTACATTTCGAAACACCAATGTTTACTGAGGGAAATTAGGTTTACCTTTAACAACAAACACAGGTGAAACTGGGGAAAATTTAATCTCACTGGTCACAAGGGAGAGTGAAATTTTGTTTAAGACTTGTAAAATTCTTATTAAGTATTCATTTAAACTACAGGTTGTCTTGATTTCATGTGAACATTTTGATATGTCAGTTATATTTTTATAACTGGTCACATGACCAAGAGCCATTTACTTCCAGCATTCACCTGAGAAAGATTTTTGCTCCAAACATGTGACTGACAATTGGCCAATTTATTATTTTTATGTTGGTAGATCTGTGTTGCAGTTTATGATGCAAATAACATGAGACAGGTAAGTGCAGTAACACTGTATTTGAATGCTACTGCTACACCTGTGCCAACATTTTATGGCATGACTGTATACATATTACACTCATTGTATTAAACAGTTACCTTTCACTTTCTTTGTAGCACTTTATGTAAACAGGCAATTCATTTTTAATATAAGAATTTAAAATTCCAGTTTGGCCCAGTACTGAAATGTGCTAGAGACTGATGCTTGTCAGCTGACACCATCATCATGTTATATTCCGTCTACACGTGCTTGTGCATCAGAAATTGCTTTGCGGTCTCAGACAGAGGTATCAGTGTCCTTATTACTGACACTGATACTGCAGTTCACTGATGGTTTTGAATCACTTCAAAACATCTGTAAGCTTGCAGTAAGTAACTTGAGCCAAATACAGCCTGAGATCTGGCAACTGATCTGATAGAGGTTGATCAAATACGAAGAACATCTTGGTTGACCTCAGCATATATGGTCAGGCTAAGGTCAGATTTCTCAGGCCTGCATAGCTGACCTCAAACAACGGGAAGATTTACCGATTTTTAAAAAGTGTCTGTCAGACACTTTAGTTAACAGGGGTCGCCCACAGCGCACAGTTTACCGTTTAACATCCAGCCTAGTTTAGCTGCTGTTTTGGGGATAAACGGTCGTGAACGGCTAAATAAATCTAGTCTAATACAGGTTCTTAGTAAACTCTGGACAGTGATTCTGTCGTGCTGTCGACTGGCCTGATCTGATCCTTCCCCACCTCCCTGCCCTCTCTCTGTCTCTCTAACTCTCTCTGTCTGTCTATCTATCTCACTCTCTCTGTTCCTCTCTCTTTCTCTCTCTGTCTTCCTCTCCCTCACCCTCTGTGTCTCTCTCTTCCTCTGTCTCTCTGCCTTGGTGTTTGTCTTTAACTGTGAGAGGCTGTGTAGCTGTTTAACTGTGTAATGCAGTAATAATGTCTGATTCTGTATGAAGTGATCAGCATGATTACTGGTGAAATACATTACAGTAAAAATCAAAGCTGAGTAAGTTGCTGATGTTGCTGCTGATTTTAATGGTGTACATGTTCTGAACAGATGTCAGTGAAAATATACAGTTTGAAGGCTGTGAGAGGTTCACACGTATTAATGTAATCTAGAGTCCAGTCATATGGGGACTTTTTTGATGATGGTAGATATTTAGCCCATGAGATAAGGTGATCCAGGTAAACTATTCAATCTCATTCTTTGTGTGATACAGCTGTAAAAATCTAGACTCTTGTTTTCAGCTCTACCTGTAATATGTGTAATATGAGGCGCTGTGTGTCCAAAAGTATCCAGACACTCATTCTTACCAGTGAGTTCTGCTACTTTATGGTGCACTCATTGCTGGCACGTGTGTTCCGTTGCTCATATATGTAGCTCACTGCTCGAGTTAATGTACAGATAATAAACACGGGGAACATAAAACTGGCAGCAGCTGTCAGTTGTGAATACGCCCATGAATCTGCGCACCGTTCAACACAGCACGGACAGTTCGCCAGTCAGAACAGACAACACAACCAACATAAACCACAAAAACAGTCCAAAACACGCTGTAATGTGCATCACCTCGCAAGACACACTCAGTACATGTCGCCAACTTTCTGGACAGGTTCACTCTCACCTTCAGCCGCGGCGATCCAGAAGCCGGCGAGCAGGACCATCTGCGAAGAGCTCAGCATTTCTTCTCAGGTTTCTCACGTGTGTCCGCTGGACGGTTCAGTCCGGAGTCTGCGCGCTCGTGTGCGGCCGCTGCTCCACTCACTCGGACTGTTCCTTTTCTCACACCGCCTCCTGAGCGCGGTCTGTCTGTGCTTTACCGCCGCCTGCGTTTCACTTATAATAGACGCATCTGACTGGTGGGTTTTTTATATTAAAGCAAAACAAAGCACACAACATCAGATGCATTTAAATATACACATATAACAGTGTTCATATACATGAATGCATTTGCTGCACTCTCAGAAAAAAAGGTACTAAACTGTCACTGGGGCAGTACCTCTCTTGTCAGTGGGGTGGGACCCTCAAGGGTACATCTCATTCCATATATAAAACCCATTTTTCCATATATAAAATCATGTATATCAAAATACAAATATGTACTTTTCACCTGAAAAAACGTATTTAAGGTGCACAGTTGGACCTTAAAACCACTGTTGTACCTTTGAGAGAACATTTATATTGTTCGTACCTTGATGAACAAGAAATGTGCACAGAACCACTATTTCTAACAGTGTATGGGATGTGCATAACTACACCGTCGAAGTGCACACATGCCTTAACAGTTTTTATAAGTTTTTGTTTTAAAGGCTGGATTAATTCAATGTTCCATCTTCTTTTCAAAGTCAATAAAATCGGGCCTTTTGCCTGAGAACGCTTATGGATGTAAAACTTAGCCATTAAAAGTGTCAGATTTATCGTAAATAAGTGTGTATTTAGCTCCGTGGTTTTCCAGAAGACCAAATCATACGTTTCCTCAAAAAACAATACACTGAGATGTACCCCTGAGGGTACCACCGCAATGACAAGAGGGGCACTGCCCCAGTGACAGATTAGTACCTTTATTTCTGAGAGCGTGCTTGGGAACTGCAGCCGCTCTTTCAGCCCTCAGTGCTGGAGAAAACGGTGGATTACGTTACTACAGAAACTATAAATAGAGAAACTATTTATGACTATTTCTATGTATTGTTCTGCCAATGGCTGCGCATTGGGCTTTTGGGGATGTGCAAATAACGCTCATGGTTAATTTGAGTATGTCGTTGCTGTCGGAAGAAAACCTCGTAGAAACCTCATAAAATTGCCTGTTGTCCTTTACATTGTATATAAATTCCATGATGAATGGGCCAAAAGAAACGGACCAAAATGACTTGGAAACATTCTGGTTCCATTGACTTACATTAAAGGTAAAGTATGTTTTTTCCTTTTCCTGTAAAGTTACCATTTCGAGATACGAGGTTTTCTTCCGACGACAGCGATGTGTTATGGGGGTGATTTCTATCTGGATGTGTGGGTTAATGGGGATTTTCGTGTCCTGTGATGGGGGGTCACCAATGGCCTGAAGCCCCGATGCCGTTCTTCCACTCGTTCTCAAAAAAGAGAAAAAGGGTGTGCAGAGAAAATGATTTGATGTGACTCTTCTTTGAGCGTCGCTACGATACTCTGCCGTTAAACCCGCGCAGGTGTAAATCATTATGGATTATCTAGCGACTCGGCCACAAGGCACTGACTAATTCGTCAATCGTTATTTAATATATATATATATTAATATATAATATATATATATATATTAAATAATGAAAAACAGTGCCGATTGACGAATTAGTCAGTGCCTTGTGGTAGCTCCATTTTTGTCGTTCATCAGTTTTTGACATAATTTAAAATTGCCTGTTTTCCTTTACATTGTATGTAAATTTCACAATGAATGGACCAAAAGAAACTGCCTGCAATGACTTGGAAAAAAGTCTGGCTCCTTTGACTTACATTAAAAGTAATTTTTTTTTATTCTTCTGTAAAGTCCTCATTTTTAGATACAAGGTTTTGTTCCGACAAAACATTTAATATAAGGACTTTTTTTAAATACACAATGTGTCACGACGAGATTTATTTTTTTCTGGTAAGTTAGAACAGATGAAGCAGTGCCACATTTTAAAATACTATCAAAACTATATTATCAAACTAGATTATTTATATAATATATATAAAATACTATCCAGTTCAACATTTCACACACCGTGCTGTACTAAGTCCAGTTAAATAGGACTAATTATACTCTCTTTTAACAAAGCATGTATTTGAGAAATGATTTTGAAGTATTGACAATATCACACACACACACACACACACACACACACACACACACACACACACACATAAATATTAGACAAGGTCTTGTGCGTATGTGCCTTTTTCAGTCCTGTTGGAAATTCAATTCTGAAGCTGCTTGAGAGAAAAATCAATAGTGAATCAATATTGTATAAAGCTGCATCTAAACAAAGATGGACACATTTCTAAAATAATAATAATAAGAGAGAGAGAGATAATAGAGAGTGCCCTGTTCACACCTGGCATTAACCTGTCCTGGGTCATCTGATCATAAGAAGACAGCACTATATACAGGTGTGAACAGGGTACAATGCATCTTGGAGACATATTGTGTGCAAATCAATATAAAGGACAACACTGTGCTTCTTTCTGTCTAAGGCAGTGGAAAGATCATTCAACACAAGGGTGTTAGCAGAAACGGTGCTATGTTTGTCTCTAAAACAGACTGATGGCTACACAAGACAGGGTCTGCATAAAGAAATGACTTAAGTTAATTGTTTATTAAAGATTCTACAATTTTGGTTAAGCAGTACAATTTCTCTTTCCCTCCCTCTCTCTCTCTCTCTCTCTCTCTCTCTCTCTCTCTCTCTCTCTCTCTCTCTCTCTCTCTCTCTCCCTCCCCACCCCCAATTTATATTCATTAGATTCAGCACCAGCTCCCTCTCAGTCTCTCTCATCCTTCACCCAGACAGAATAACCCAGACAAAAAAAACAAAAGGCTGAGATAATGAGACAAGGACGGAAGAACACACACACATCTTTCCACATATGGACAGACCTAGAAAGGATGAAGCAAAGAGGTTCCAAAATTGAGATTATTGTGGCCATAAAGAATGCATGCCTACTGAAATATCCACACACTTTAGACATATAGTGTGCATGACTCATTTTACACATACAAGAATTTCATATCCACCTACTCTTTGCATTTCTTGAAATTGCTAATCTCTTGTTTAGGTTTGGAGGGGTGTCTGTGTCACTGTTTAGTTGCAACAGGACACCAGCCTTTTAAAGATCTGTGTCTACAGTTAAGCTTGTTTATTGCAGGTGTAGTTTAGAGATATTGCCAGTCTTGTTAGACAATTCTACATGAGGCTATATGTCTGAAAGTACAGGTGATTCACTCGAAAGAGGCCCCGAATATTCTGTTGTAACTCCCATTAGGATGAAGCAATCTGATCCAAAAAAATACACTACATACCTCAACGTATGTGTAATAAATTGCCTTACATGTGATGCTGGAAGTGATCTCTGTTTTCTGCCAAACACATGAAGGGGTACGGGGGTATGCACCTGGAAGTTGCAAACAGAGGTTAAACGTTGCGACAGTTGTCCGGCACCTACTTCATCGCTCCGATGCAGGGGCATCCTAGCTTGTTGGAAGCTCCATATACTGAGGAGCACACTGCACTTTGTTTTGTTCAGATTGCTGCATCCTAGCAAGAGTTATTACAGAATATTCAGGGCCTCTTTCGAGTGAATCTCCCTGTAGTATACTATTAAAGTTTAGCTACTTGCAACCACTTCTGAGAAAGGCATTTGACAGCACACACAGCTTGTATAATCTCCATAGAAAAACACTACCAATAGAATGAGGCACTCTGGAGCAGCCACATATGAACCTAAGGTCATAACATGCAATGCCAAGCTTCAACAGGACGGATGTAAAGACCTCCAGTATTGGGCTGTGGAGCAGCAGAACTGTGTTCTCTGGAGTGATGGAGCTCCAACCATTACCTCTGGGTATCTGAGATGAAGTGATCCAGAACAGATCATCCAACATAAGTATCTGACCTTATTAACACTCTTGTTGCTAAATGCAACCAAATCATCACAGCAATGTTCCAACATCTAGTGTAAAGCCTTAGTGTGGCGAAAATTGGCAAACTCCCCTTTAAAACTCTTGATTTCAGAAGAAAAGTTGATGAGTAAATTTTGTGTGTGTTACAAAGCGGCCTATGGTCAGGGCCTAAAATGTTAGGGGTCAATCTGTGCCACCAGTCACCAGCAGGGGGCCTGGGCTGCGCAGTGAAAGAGCTGGTGGATTTAGGTCAAAGAACTCCAAGTCCCACAATCCCCAGCGCTAATTAGCACTGACCAGGCACACCTGCTAGGCTCAGCTTTTAAGCCCACACCAGCAACAGTTCACTGTTGCACCTTTGTAGAGGGGTGACTGGTATGGTACATTAGATCAGACAGAGGTTTGTATTTAAGAAAAGAAAAGAAAAGGGAGCAAAAATAATCCTGTTGAGGACAAAGAAAAGAGAAAATCAGTTGGTGGCAAGAGAGACCTATGAAGTAAAGAAAGCTGAGTTAAACAGACAGGAGCTCAACTGAGATCCATAGATAAATCACAGTGCTCTGTTCTTACAAGCACAAAAAGAAAGCGCTTCCCCTTGTCAGTGAGGGTAGGTTGGTATGCGTTTTGTTTTCATAGCCTCAAAACATACAGATCGGCATTCAAAATCTGGCATAGGACTCCACAGTGTAGCACAAAAGCATTTTTCCCTTTGCCCTCCAAATTTACCCACATTTGCACCCTTATCAACATTTTTTTTTTGAAAACTGAAAACACTTATTCCACTCTGCACTTTGATCCTCTCCCCCACCAATGGTGTGGTGTGAAATGTATGCTTTGAGAATGTGTATGCGTGTAATAGTGAGGCAAAATATTCTTCCCAGTAAAGTAAATGAGTACTGTATGAAGACCCAGTCACCAGTTTAACTTTGGGTTTGGCCAAGGCCAAAACCACAACTATGACCCACAGTAACTTGATGAAAAAAACACTAACTAACCTCAACCAAAACAAAAATAACAAAGAAATACTGCTTATGTAAATCCCTGACTAACACAAAACTCAAAAAACAAATCTATAAATCTATAGAGGGAATCTATAAAATATACACAAAGTGAACAGGTTTTAATGGGCTGGGCTAAATCAATGTCAAAAA